CCATTTCTGCCACTCACCCCACTCTACCAGCGAGCAGCTGGGGGGGCACAAGGAGCTGGGGGGACACAGCTGGGACAGCTGACTCCAACTGACACCAGGGGTATCCCACACGGTATGACGTCATGCTGAGCACATAGAGCTGGGGGAGGAAGGGGAGGATGTTGGGAGTGATGGCGTTTTTCTGCCCAAGTCACTGTTACACATGATGGAGCCCTGCTATCCCAGGGATGGCCAAGCACCCACATGCCTGTGGGAAATAGGGAATGAATTCCTGGTTTTGCTTTGCTTGTGTGTGCAGCTTTTGCTTTCCCTATTAAACTGTCTTTACCTCAGCCCACGAGTTTTCTGGAAGGGGAGGATGTTGGGAGTGATGGCGTTTTTCTGCCCAAGTCACTGTTACACATGATGGAGCCCTGCTATCCCAGGGATGGCCAAGCACCCACATGCCTGTGGGAAATAGGGAATGAATTCCTGGTTTTGCTTTGCTTGTGTGTGCAGCTTTTGCTTTCCCTATTAAACTGTCTTTACCTCAGCCCACGAGTTTTCTCACTTTTACCCTTCTGATTCACTCCCCCACCCCACCCAGGGGAGAGCAAGCGAGTGGCTGCATGTGGCTTAGCTGCTGGCTGGGGTTAAACCACGACAGAGGCTAAAGCTCAAATGCAGTTGAGCAGGGACAATTTAATAGTGTTTGTGCAGTGGAAAGAGAGAAACAGAAGCTACACCTAAATAACCAAACTCACTGTCTTCAGTGATGTCCTGGGGGTGGCACCGGGACTGTACATTTATGAACTTTACTCCTCCAGTTTCACCCCATCAGCACAGCAAACAAGCTTCCTTTAGTGCTGTACTCACATCCACAGGAAAACCATTCTGTCACATCCATTTCCCCTCCCTTCCCACACATCCTAATGCCCAGACATAAAAATGCCTGATGAGACACCAGTGAGTGGAAAGGCCTCACGCCACCACCTTCAGGAAGGCACAGACACAGCAGAAACCTGCAACGTGCTCCCATCAATGGCCTGTGGAGCTACCCCTGGCAGAGACACCTTAGGAATAAAGGCACAAAAAGTTCTCTTTTATCTACGAACATCACAGTAACAGGAGGTACTCAAACTTCCCCTCTCCCAGACCAAAAAGGGCCTTCTATCCAAAAAGTTTTGCAGCTTGTACACAGAGATATCTTCTGTTTCCTTGGAAAAACCAGATGCTTGTCATATTTCCAGCCATTAAACCACACTTCCAAAACCCACCAAGCCCGACCACCATTAATATTTATTATGTCAGGGTGTGAAGAAAACCTCCCCAGTGCAGCTTCCATCTTCAGTCCTCTCACAGCCCAGAGCTCCCCAACAGTCACATATGGTCCCCCTCCTTGCACTGACACCCCCATACTCCTAGTTGAGGCTGTGAAAACCAGCAGCATTATAAACCAGGTGAGGAGCAGGGCCATCCACCATCCTCTGAGCATATTTCCAGGTTGCTCTTCCCTGGTCATTCTTGGGTCAGCTCCACGGAACTCCTGGTCAGGCCTACCAGCAATATCCCAGGTAATGCCATCATAAAACATCACATGCAAACCACCACGATGTAAAAGGAGAACAGCATGGAAAATATTATTGAGTTATACGATGCCTGTTCCTTGGAGCTGGTGCTCAGATGGAGGGGATGAAGATTGATGGAGACAAATAAGAGGTGACAACATTCTGGAGACTGAAGCCAGGAAGCCCTACTGATCTGGCCTCATGTATTGTGTTCGAGCAGCAAGGCTTTGGTAGTGGGGGGGCTACAGGGGTGGCTTCCGTGAGAAGATACCAGAAGCTTCCCTTGTGTCCAACAGAGCCAATGCCAGCCGGTTCCACGAGGGATCCACCGCTGACAAAGGCCAAGCCCATCAGCGACAGTGGTAGCACCTCTGGGACAACATAGTTAAGAAGGGAAAAAATCTGCTGCACAACAGCAGCTAGGAGAGAGGAATGAAGGGATGTGAGAGGAGCAGCCCTGCAGCAACCCAGGTCAGTGCAGGAGGTGTTCCAGGCGCTGGAGCAGAGATTCCCCTGCAGCCCCTGGTGCAGCCCATGGTGGGGCAGGCTGTCCCCCTGCAGCCCAGGGAGGCCCATGGGGGAGCAGATCTCCACCTGCAGCCCGGGTAGGACTGCACACCGGAGCAGGGGGGTGCCCAAAGGAGGCTGTGACCCTGTGGGAAGCCCACGCTGGAGCAGGCCCCTGTCAGGGCCTGTGGCCCTGTGGGGAGAGGAGCCCAGGCTGGGGCAGGTTTACTGGCAGGGTTGGTGACACCATGGGGACCCACGCTGGAGCCGTCTGCTCCTGAGGGACTGCACCTGGTGGGAGGGTTGGACCCACACTGGAGCAGTTCATGAAGCGCTACAGACCGTGGGAAAGACTCACGCTGGAGAAGTTCATGGAGGACTGTCTGCCATGGGAGGGACCCCACACTGGAGCAGGGAAAGGGTTTGAGGAGGAAGGAGCAGCAGAAACAGCGTGTGATGAACTGACCCCAACCCCCATTCCCTTGCACTGCTGGCGGGCAGGAGGTAGAAAAAGTAGGAGTGAAACTGAGCCTGGGAAGAAGAGAGGGGTGGAGGGAAGATGCTTTAAGGTTTGGTTTCATTTCTCATTACCCTACTCTGATTTGATTGGCAATAAATTAAATTAATTTCTCCGAGTCAAGTCTGTTTTGCCCTTGACGGTAATTGGTGAGCATTCGCCCTGTCCTTATCTCGACCCCTGAGCTCTTTTCCATCATATTTTATCCCTGACCCATCCTGCTGAGGAGGGAGAGTGATGGAATGGCTTGCTGGGCACCTGGCATTCAGCCAAGGTCAACCCACCACACCTCAGTATAAAGGAAACCAGGAGCACTCAATGAGAGGGGAAGGTTGACTACCAGCAAGCCGCCAGTCTGCAAGACAGAGCTCAGGTAGGTATTAAAAGGCATGCGTGTGCATGCATGCACACAGCAGGGGCACCTGACATGTGGGCACAGGCACAGACACCAGAGCCACAGGGAGCTGCTGCAAAAGACAAAGAGAAGCAGCTCCAAGTGGAGGGGCAGAAAGAGAGTGTTTTGTGTCCAAACCAAGAACACGGGGTTGGGGTTTCACACCTCTTCAAAGACATGAGCTCTCACAGCTAACAGTGGGGTTCAGGGTGCTGCAGTGACCCACTCTGCTCCATTCTTGCCAGCACATTAGACCCTGCTTTGCAAATTACCACCCAGACACACCACAGAAGAATCGTTACCACATCCAGAGGAGGTGAGAAAAATGCCACTGACTTTTCCAGTGCCAACACTGGTGAAAGCAGAAGATGTTTTTTGGGTAAGATGTAGCTGGTAAGCAGAAGAAAGCAAGGACTACAAGAGAATAACAGTACAAAGAGAGGCATGGAAAAATCACAGCAGACTGTCAGGCCAAAGAGAAGAGAGAACGCCACTAACCTCATTCCCATAGGAAACACCACGATAATAACAGGATCAAGGTCTGAGCAGACAGATCCAGCACGTGCCTTAGCACACCGAATATCATTACTGGCCACAAAAGGGTCAGTACTTGGTCCCAAACAGTGCTAAGAAATGGGAAAAGTCTGTGAGCAGCTTCCTCAGTCCAAGACAATCTGATAAGCAATTAGTAATGTGAAGTAGAAAAGGGAAGAGCAAAGCAAACGAGAGATTCAAGGGTAATGTACTGTGACTCCAACAGTGAAGAAAGAAGTACTTGCCTACCACCAGGATGAAATAAGAATTGTTTAAAGAATAGAAAACCTGGAGGGCAGGCTCCCAGAAGACTAATTTTATCTGATTGTCCCTGCCTCGTTTCAAGAATACAAAATACATCACAAAGGTCAGCGATTAATTGATAAAGCAAGCAAGGCTTGAATCTGGAATCCAGTGATGCAATATTAACCAAAGTCATCCTAAAAATTACTCAGCAACAGGCTCTGAACAGAGCACTGACCTCTTCACAGTGAACATCACTTTGAAAAACAAATGACTCATCCCCCACATCTTCCCAAGTCTATTATGTCCTAATAACTGAAAGCCGACTTCTGCTTTTCTGAGTACTGAAGACAGCCACTGTCTTCAGGGAAAGATGGTTAGGCATGTAAGCTGATGGAAAAAATTATTTAGAAGACTTGCAAAACAGGTTCCTCATGCTAGGGTCACACTGAACAGTCTATAGAAATGCATAAAACTCATAAT